GGTTGTTGCTATTGTAGTTGAGAATTTGATTGGTGTGGGTCGGCTTCCTGTGCACTTGAGTCTCCAGTTTTCCTGTGTCAGTTCTGGTGATTTATACATCTAAGAATGGTAACTTGTTGTCCGACTCTTGTTCCATTGTGAACTTGATGTCGTTGAAGACGTTGTTGATCTGCTTGTAGGTGTTTTCTAGTTCCTCCTTTTTGACGATGACGAATGTGTCGTCTACATAACGAACCCAAATTTTTGGTTTGATCACTGGTAGAATTGTGGTTTCTAGTCGTTGCATTACTGCTTCCGCGATGAGTCCTGATATTGGTGATCCCATTGGTGTCCCTTTTGTTTGTTTGTAGATTTTGTTATTGAATTGGAAATATGTTGCTAGACATAGATCTATGAGTTCAAGTAGGCTTTGACGTTGAAGTTTCGCGTATTTTGCGAGGTTTTCGTCGTTGGTTAGAAGCAAGGACAGGGTTTGTTTTGCTAAGTTTGGTTCAATTGAAGTGAATAGTGCTGTTACATCCAAGGATATCATTCGTTCGTCGTCGTTGATTTGAATGTTCCTAATCTGATCAAGGAACTGTTTGGCTGATTTGATGGAGTGGTTCGACGAATCTACTAAATGTTTCAGTATTCTTGAGATTTCTCTTGATAAATTGTACGTTGGTGTTCCTGGTAGTGCTACAATTGGACGTAGTGGAATGTTTGGTTTGTGTATTTTTGGTCTGCCGTAGAACCGAGGGAGTACTGGTCCATTAGGTTTCATTCTTCATTGATCTTGCTTCGTTATTTCTCCTGCTTTGACGAGTTTGTTTAAAGTTTTTGCAATGCGATTGTCTAGTTTTTTGACTGGATTTATGTCCATCGGTTTGTATGTATTTTTGTCCACTAGTATTTCCTCGGCTTTCTTAATGTATTCTTCTTTGTCCATAATCACCGTGGTGTGTCCTTTGTCTGCTGGAACGATGACAATATCTTTTCTGGTTCTGAGTTTCTTCAAGGCTGTTTGTCCTTGTGACGTCAGTTGGTTGTTGCCCTTCATCCGTTGAGTCAGTGGTACTATAGAATGTCTTATTTCCTGTTGCGTTTCCTCACTTATTCCGGAGGTTTTGAGTGATGACTCCAGTTCTGCGTAGAATTCCAGTTTTGAGGCATCGCTTGTATTGCAATTTATTCCTTTTCGGAGTAGCTGTTCTTCTGCGTTTGTTAGTGGTTGTTTTGATAGGTTGACCACGCTGTTGTTTGTGATTTCTTTCATAGTTGGATTTGAGATTTTGATTATTTTCTTTTTAAGGATGTTTCTTCTTTTTTCTCTGTGTCGTTTGCATAACGTTTCGATGGCTGTTGTCAGGGTTTCGAAGTGTTCACTTCGAAGTGAAATCAATCTAATCTATCAACCAATCAAGAAAATTATGCAGGAAGATAGGAACAAAAATCAAAGCAATAGGAGATACAACCAAAACAAAGAAATAAACAATGACAGATTTAAGGTCAATAAGAACCAATCAACATCGAGGTGCAGAGGACAAGCTGTGAATCACATGTGGAGAAATTCAAACACTTCACTTCTACCCGAAGTTTGTGCTGATGATGTCGTTCAGAAGGACAATGAAAGCTCCACGACCAAACCATCCAGCTCAGAGAACAAACCAACATCAAAATACTCCTAAGTCTTTGTGCTCATGAACGCATGGCAGAGATGTACCATTAACGGTATAATGGTAACTAATATGGTGTCCGATGTGCATGAGCACGCTCTTCCTGGAATTAACTTCCAAGCCACAATCATGAGCCCACCTAACTAATTCGTCTAAATCTGCTTGCAGATAACAACGATCAGTCTCATTTCTTATTGTTCTCCAGATTTTAACATCATCCGCAAACAATAACGTCGACGACTTAAGTAATAATGGTAGTTCATTAATATACAGAAGGAAAAGTAAAGGGCCCAATATGGTGCCTTGGGGTACACCACTTTTGACCGATTTCCATTCGGATAACGTTCCATTGACCCTTACTCTCTGTCTGCGGTCACATAAGAAGCTTCCTATCCATTCCTGTATAGCACCTGTTATACCAAAGCTCGAGAGCTTTTGCATAAGACCTAAGTGTGAAACCTTATCAAACGCTTTGCTAAAATCTATGAATATCACGTCGACAGACTGGCCGTTGTCTAGGGCAGCTGTCCAATCCTCTCTCGCAGTGAGTAAGTTAGTCAAGCATGAATGCTTGTTACGAAACCCATGTTGCTCGGGAGTTAACAGATTGTACGAATCTATGTGGCTCAGTAGCTTAGCCCGAATTAATATTTCAAGTAACTTAACTACTATGCTGGTCAGGCTGACAGGCCGGTAGTTAGATACGATCCGTCTCTGACCATCCTTAAATATAAGACCAACTATGGCGTCCTTCCAGTCTCTAGTTAGTTGAGCCTGTGAAAGGGACATGTTGAAGAGCATCGTGAGCGCTCTTGAGATAATGTCCGCAAGCGACGACAGCAAACGTGGGTGCAAACCATCGGGGCCCGGTATCTTACAAGGTTTTAGGTTAGTTATCAAAGGAAGAACAATATCCTCTGTCACGTGTGAAGGTCCTATGGCTGGTATCTCGTTGTAAATGGGACAAGTAGTTGTAACACTACACGTAGAGTAGACTTCAGTGAAACAGTTAGCAAATGTCTCCGATTTCGCTAGATTAGATTCGTTTAACAGTAACGGAGGGATACTATCACTACGTTTCAACACTTTGTTTATGATTTAGTCAGTGATTTTGGATTCTGTTAACAGAAATTTATATTTTAACCCTATACGAGACATCGTAAAATAGTATTATCTACGACATGTTTTAGTTACCATTCTCATAACAAACACGCATCGCTTTACTTAAGAAGAGTATTTCGCTAACTTATGTGACACTTACAGTAATGTTCTACACAATTTCTGTATAAATTCAGAAAGCGGACAGAAAAATCTATCAACGCCAATTGTTACCAACATAATTTTTCTTACTCACATTACGTAATAACATATCAGTCCAGTTAACAACGATGATACTTATCATGGATTAAACTGTTTACGGCTGTATATTAATAGTTCATATCGTAATGTAGCACGTTATATATTGACGTTCACTTTGAAGCAGGAGCGATCTGAAACAACAACACTACAGTGAGGACCGGTAAGTGCCGTCGAAGTAAGAACACAATGTACTGTTACAATAGATATATTTTTAAAATTGAAAGACACGGTTGAGTGCAAAAGGGGAAATTTTCTACAAAATAGTTTTATTCATTGTTCTGCTCATTCAGATCGCGTAGGGCTTCTTTCTATATTTCCAGTGCGTCTACTCTTTGTTGCCCTGCAATAGAAAAACAAACTCACATTAGGAACGTCGCATGGAATGATTATTAATACCATTAGAAGATTCATGAGTAGTTTAACTCTCAATTACAATTTATAAACAACTACTAACACCCACGTTCATTCCCATACAACCAATAAAGGGGAAATAAAGCGAAATTTCCTCTTTCTGTCGCTCTGTTTTTCAAATGTCGCTAAATTGCCGACTTTTACCTTAAATATCCGACGAATTGTCTACTTTTCTACTACATGCACACCTATGTAATTAAGCGCCCACTTTTAAAACGCTTCTGTATTTACCCCAACCGCCTCCTGTGTTCACCTTCATTCCCACAACACAGCACACGAATAATGTGATGTACGTAATGTATGGTATAAGTTCCAAATTTTTATTGAAAACAAAAAGCTTATTATTGTACAACGTCATGAGCACTTGGCAGATGGTAGAGCATCAATGTTCCTGATGTAATTGCAAATGTCACGGACCAGATATTTCACGTATTGTTTCTTTCCATCAAACCTTTTGGACTATGGAGACTCAAATATTTATTGTGAATTCTAAAATGTAATGAAGAAGAACGTTACTATATCTAGGAAACTTGTTTTGCACAACAAGGTACTTGAAGCTGAACTTACGGTTATATCCTTGAACATGGAAGACTCTACATATAGATAACGGGAAAACAATGATCACTTTAAAGTCGTACGTACGTGTTCTTTCTTCCGTCGATGACGCTTCTGTACTTTGTCTCTCATGTCGTGAAAATAACTTTGTGTAGCCATGTCATATATTTTCGCAAGGTCTTTCTCAGTGATAGATGACGACAGGGATCGATTAGTAAGTGCACCTGAAGTTTAAAAACCTTATTTATCTTACTTCGTACGCAGCCATAAAACCGGAACTTCTGAATCGCTCGTTTTGATGAAGTACCAAGTAGCGTGAAATTAATGGCGACTTCAGGTTTCATGATGTAGGACAGAAAATATCGCATGGAGGTTTGAGGATCATCATCCATTAAACGCGTCAACATGGCCATCTGTAATAGGAATGAAGGATAAAAATCATGTTGTGTGCTTACAAATCTGTCCCTCATGTGTAGGCGAAAAAGCGACATTTCCCCTTTGTTTACGCTTTCGTACGCTTTATTCCCCTTTTTTCGCTTTTATTTCCACTTTATTGGTTGTTTGGGTCACTACCATAATAAGGGAGGAAAGTTATATGTAAATTATTCTACAGCTTGTTTTTGCTTGAAACTATAATTTTTGTGTATTTTAGACTTGATAAATGATTAATTTCACTTGCCCGTGTTTACATTGTTACAAATTACCAAGTTAGGCTGACTAAACATTCATCCATGTTGTCAAGTCCAAATACATCAGGCAACCAATAGACTGCAATAAACGCCATGCAACGCGCATAAATATTACAAAAATTAACATGTGACGGAAAAATACTGCGATTAGCCGACAAAAAACGACGTTAGAAATCCGCGACAACATGTAACACATAAGCGAGAATCACTGACATAACTTTTCGACCATACCCCATAAAAAATTATCTACAAATCGTTAGCACAGCCGTAACACAATGTTTCGTCAATAGGTAGATATTAGCGTCATCTACATTGGATTTTATTTCCAGTTGTCATCGTGACGGGCGCAATGCACAAACCATGACCTTGACTAATTGTATGTGTAAACTCTAGTTACAGTTAAATAAAGATCCTGCTTCACTAACACAGCAAAAAGAGATATACTACAAAATACGCTCACTATCTCCAAGAGTAACGGTAACTGCATTTTCTAATATTTTCAAATATTCTGAAGGCACAAGCGTGTTTAGTTTATCTCATGTAAAGTCTATGAATTAACTAGATACATATTTTAGCAACATAGGTGATGTAAATTCGTGCTGAAGACCCTAATAATTTATACGTAATGGTGTCTGCGCAAGTCAAAACTGTTTACCGACGTCAATCATATTAGACTTCCCGCTACTAATCATTTCGTGCTTAAACGCCATTTCCATCAAGTGACAATCAGTTCACAGTCGTCTGTTTATGTAACTATCACCGAACGCGTTAAACACTCATTACTAGGAAGGTAGTCATATGAAGGGTCCTTGTGTGGAAAGATTACATACTCAAACATAAGATTCTGAAGCTTTAAAGTGTTATTGTGAATTATCAGTGATCCATATTGTAATAAAATCTCGAAAAGTTTCAAGCAATAAGTCAGACTCCAAGTGAGCAGAATGTGATCATATTGTATAATACGACAACTATATCATAACAGCACAAAACACACCAAATATTTAATCGTATTATGTGTACTATTCGTTCCATAGGATTTTCGACAAAATGTGTAGAACGTTTGGTCGCGTCACAGTCACAATACAGTTAGCGAAATACTTTAGTGGTGACATGATTACCGATCGGAACGGCGGTCCTCTGTTTGAAGTCATTTTGGAAATAATACGGAATTTTGAAATCTATTAGTCAGTGATCATGATAACCAACCAGATATTTAACAATTAATGAAATTCGATCACTGTGCGAACGTACTTTGAAATCATTACATTGGAAGAACTGCATGAATACACACTAGATTGCTTGTAGTATTTAATCCAACGGAGGAAAAGTGTTTCACTCAGTCTGTTTATTTACAAAACCGTAGTCTGTTGAGTTACTCGCTAGCTCCCAAGTTTAGTCAATATTTAGATTCATCAGATGAGACGAACCTAGCTTTCAACCGACTATGTTTCCAATTACAAAACATTTTCTTGTATCCAGTTAAGCCTTGTTACACAACCTAAATATGAAGGCTAGACCTAATGTGACATCCTAGCACTTAAGATCGCAATTATGAAGTTTGTCTTTTTCAATAGTGACATTACAGACGTTAGCAATGCCGCAGATTGCATTAAAAATGTCTATGATAAAAGACGGAAGAACACCTAACGGGATGTTTCCCAAGATTACTTCATGCTTGCATCAAATATATGAATCTCGATTAGGAATCTTCCTAAATTATGTCACGCAGTCCAGGCAAACAGGTTTTTATGTGTTGCTTAGTTGACATGATCGGAATAAAATCCAATGGGAAGACTAGTAATTTCCAGCGTTTCAGTACTTGACGTCTCATTTTAGTGACTTTGGTCATGATCTGGGTCAAAATAAAGTTACTCATCACACATGGAGTTCAAAAGTGGTAGGTGCCACTGTTCTTAGCTACTACAACTTGCTTTCATTTATATTGTTAATCACTCCGCAACTATAACTACAAACAGTGAGTAATGCTTTTACGTCATAAGGAAGTCATACTATTGGTCCGCGGGAAGCCTTAGGACTAACTTAAGGAAATGCTTACCTAAATACCGAGGGCAACCCTCAATATTAGCTCTAGGGATTCACAATTAACCATTCTTTTAAAAGAATATACTTGTTTTTCTTACGCTTTTTTGCAGATAACTTTATCGTCATCTGGTCTAACTGTTCAAAACTAAACGCAACTAAAATACAATTCATAATACCAGTATAGAAAATCCAAAGTTTCGTCCCATTCAACAAAAATGCCGAACGAACAGATCCACATTGAACATTTTATTCAAAGTCTTAGCAGTACTATAAGCTATGTGAAATCTGATATTCGGTTAGAAGCCACGTCAGCTGAACTTCAATCTTTACCAATACGTACTTACTTGGAGAGATTAGTTGTGCCAGTACTTATTCATGGCCTAACGCAACTGTGTAAAGAAAGGTAATCTAACGGCAATATACCAAGTTTTTTTATAGACCACAGAAGCCAATTGAGTATTTAGCAGCGTATTTATTGAAAAACAAAAATTATAAACAAAATATCAATACTGGTACCAAGTAATCAACTGAAGATAACATAATTTTGACTTATAAATAAACAATTCGAATATATACTTCATTCTAACGCTAGATTCCTTTACATACATAAATGTGTCAGAGAACAGAGCTTCGGCAAACAATACCTATTACTAGTTTGAATTCGTTCTGGATGCCATACTTTATGCAGGTAGTTTCAAAACACGGGTACTGCTACTTCTACTAGACAGTTATCTATAAAATGGATAGTCCAGTCGCGCTACTTTAGGTAAAGAAACATAATATGACTCGTTACCAATAATACTATTCGACAAAGCATATACTCGTAAACAATTTTTGTGTAACGGCTGGGGATATCAGCTATCTGCTTAAACCAGAGACACAGTGGAGTTTAAACTTACGTCATCGAATAAGTGACTGTCAAGGGATTTGACCATTAAGCCATTGATCCATTTCCAAACTTCCACTGGCCGATATTCGAGTTCTCTGAAAAGTTTGCATTATTCTCAGTGACACTTTGCACACAGGCGATGAAAATGTTCTGGTTACGAGAAAACATCATACAGTGGGAAGTCCACTGAGACTATTCGATTTATCAGTTAAAATAGACCACCACATTTGGCCCGACCGTTGCTGCTACCTTGACGTGGTGGTCGGGCTTGCCTATCGTGATGATCCAATCGAGCTGTGCTGGCTGGAACAATCGTTCCTCAAGGTCCTACCATGCCAGACAGGTCGGTTGAAGAGCGGTGAGACTAAAAGCAGCAATCCCAAGATCCGAAGACGAAGTCGTACTGCTGACTGTACAGAGGTGTGAAAGCAGTAAGGTGTTTCCTTCAGACAACCAGCATGACAGCGATGCTGCCTTCACACAAGGAAGGGTGGGGTTAGAAAAGGTCGACCCTAAAAATGCACACCTCGCCTTATTCCACGGATTTCCGTCTCCGGCGGTAAGGACTTTTGAAGAACGGAGCAAACACAAAAATCCCCCACAAAAAGGCCGTGCGTGACCGGCCTCAAGCAGTTGTCCCTTGAGCACTGCGGTCACGCTCCCAGGTCGTTCAGACCAACACTAATCCAACTTCTTTTTCAGGTCCCTCAAGAAATACCCTTCCACGGTGTGGGCAGCCGGGAAGTTATACTAGCCCTCATACCCTTAACTGCACACGAGACCAAGTTGGTCACTTTCAAATCCTTCCTACACCTAATAACTCTGTTATCTCTACGACTAACCCTTCCCACGTCCTTTTATCACCTCGCACCGCTAGGACAAACGATTCGAGTACACAGAACGTTATTCCTGGTCTCCTGAAACCACGCTCTAAACTACATGTAGGAACTTTTAATGTCCGAACATTGTGCCAAATAGGACAACAGGCTTCCTTAGCTAGGACTCTAGAATCTTACGCCATCGATGTGTGCTGCGTCTCCGAAACGCGCATACAAGATCCGAGTAGTGTCATTCATTTGACCTCACCTAATCAAAATGAAGATTCATCTCGATACACGCTTCGTGTATCTGGAAGTCCTGATGCTGCTTCCCGTGGCCTCGCTGGAGTAGGTATAGCATTAAGTCCTAGGACAGAACTAGCTCTTTTAGACTGGATCCCAGTAGACAGTCGTCTATGCGCTGTCCGACTAAACGGATCAGTAAGGACCCGGGAAGATAAGGAAACTCGTCGTTGCCTCTTCGTCGTCTCTGCCTACTCTCCCACTGACTGCAGCTCAGACGATATAAAAGATGAGTTCTACAGGAAACTTTCTGACCTTCTCCAAAAAGCTAGGCGTTCTGATGTAGTAATAGTAGCAAGTGACTTCAATGCTCAATTAAGTAAACTAAGTGAAAGGGAAAGACACCTGGGTGGATCTTATGGTGTCGTGGCTAAAAGGACAGATAATGGCGACCGTCTGTTGCAGCTATGCTCAGATAACCGCCTATTTCTTGCAAATACTAACTTAAAGTTAAGCATAAGGAAAAACATCTTTTGACATTGTAGTACCAGTTCATATGTTAGGCCCATATACTTTATTCTAGTTACTGGCCAAGCCAATTCACCTGTACATTGAGTCATCTTTTGATCTTGTTAATCATTTGCTTATTAACCTTGAGTACTTTTTATATGAGCGCATATGTGTACACTTCGTATCTTATTCATCATATGTCTGTCACTCATTTTTGCCTGCCTATAAATGTTAGTTAACGCTTGCTTAAAATGAGTTGGCTTCCCAGCCATCTCCAATGCGCATTGTTCTCGCTTCGCTCTCGAGTTGGCTTCCCAGCCATCTCCAATACGCATCATCTTTGCTTCGCTTGCTTACAGTTGCTCATGTGCTTACAACTTTCTGGTCTGCATCGATTATCAATAAAAATGTAGTTGCCGCTTCCCTTTGCCTTCTGATATTATACACCGTTAAGATTGGTATTAATAACGGTTATCGAAGCGAACTATGATCGAAGCACGGCACTACAAAACTGGTAATCCCGACGTACGAACACGCAACACAATTAGCGATCCCGACTTACGAACGCGAAAACATAATTGGATGTCTCGCCGAACGAACATCGACGAGAATCGACAACCTCGACGTACGAACTCACATAATTGGCACGCCGTATTTGGAACACGCGACAGAATCGGCAACCGCAACGAGTGAACACAAATCAAAAATGAAACCGCGGACGACATATTTCGTTGATTCTAATAATCATCATATGCTCATTATTACAATAATGTCATATCGTCATCTAACGTGGAATTCTTATTTTTGCTCGTATTCACATTAAACTATGACATTCACGCAGTCGAATCACTAATCAAACAAATTATAATTATTTGGACATTACACGTTATCATATTCGAAACTCACTGGATTATCTTTATTATCCAATGACGTACAATTTTCCTGATTCAAGTGAGTTCGTTCCAATCTTTTTCATGTCATTTTCGGTCTAATATTACACTCTATCATATACATAAGTTTGGAGTCATACTCCCGATAGTAGGAACTTATGTTCTCGATACCACTAATGTCCATTCATCCCATTGGTACGCAGCAATCGTCATTTTTTATATTTTCAGCGACAACGTAAACCGAACTTTCGCAATTTTTGTTTTACGATGATCCCTACTTTAATGTCTATACACAAATCAAGTATTTGACGCCGCATTACCAGCCGATTAGTAATGATTATGTTCATATTATCTGTTCATCGACATGTAAATCTGAATGCTGCATCATCTATTACGCATCAAAAATATTTGGTTACTGCAATTAGTATTCTATTTCCATTGCATGGTATACAAGAACATAGAGTTTAGAGCTAGTCTCTCAAAGATACACTCTTGTTCGTCTCATTCAAGTCAGTCTCACTCACTGTCATCGATAATCATATGTATTGGTATTTTTTTTATGCCTTAATACGGTTTCGTAACAAATGAGGTTGAGCGCATATCCCTCTAACCACACAAACCACGCTAGGCTGCATGACCATAGAGGAATACGACTCCGCATATCTCGTCTCAACAGTCACTATCCTGTTCCTCTGGTCATTCTACTAATACATATTTAACGATAACTCGACGCACACGACATCGTACGCTGACTTCGCATTTTATTATCATTATCAGTAGCAGTACAGCAATGAATATCAACCGCTGATGCAGTCATCATCCTACGGCTGGATTATTTTTTATCCCACGTAAACTCCAATCGTGTAAATTCGAATCCACTCATCGCCAATCGACTCTATTTACTCGACTGCAGCTTATCAGAACATATTTCACTGTTATTTATCCGCATATTCAATCAGCACCACAGAGCAATTACTGTTATACTCTATTTTCACTATATTTCAAATCGCTCGTATGAACATGTTATTTTATCATTCGGACAGTCACTACATAAATTCATGTTAAATTTTTTCGAACGCTTACTAATGTACTGATAATCACATGCTAGCATCCCTATTTTTGTCCGCACTTTGACAATATTCATGTTCCTTTTTACATAAGTATGACACTTTCGCTTAATACGCTCACCCCTCACATGACACTGTAATTCATCAGGTATTGTACCATTTTTTCCCACATTTTGACGTTATCCTCATACCGCTTCAGTGTTATTTTTCGAAAACAGACATTTTTTTATAAATGTGCTATTTTCTACAAGGGGGCTATGTAGTACCAGTTCATATGTTAGGCCCATATACTTTATTCTAGTTACTGGCCAAGCCAATTCACCTGTACATTGAGTCATCTTTTGATCTTGTTAATCATTTGCTTATTAACCTTGAGTACTTTTTATATGAGCGCATATGTGTACACTTCGTATCTTATTCATCATATGTCTGTCACTCATTTTTGCCTGCCTATAAATGTTAGTTAACGCTTGCTTAAAATGAGTTGGCTTCCCAGCCATCTCCAATGCGCATTGTTCTCGCTTCGCTCTCGAGTTGGCTTCCCAGCCATCTCCAATACGCATCATCTTTGCTTCGCTTGCTTACAGTTGCTCATGTGCTTACAACTTTCTGGTCTGCATCGATTATCAATAAAAATGTAGTTGCCGCTTCCCTTTGCCTTCTGATATTATACACCGTTAAGATTGGTATTAATAACGGTTATCGAAGCGAACTATGATCGAAGCACGGCACTACAACATGGCGACCCCCGAATTCGTCCCAACGTTGGACCCAATTAGACCACATCGCTATCAGCCACCGATGGAGGGGCTCGATAGAAGACTGTCGCTCATTCTGGAGCACATGTTTAGACTCAGATCATGCTCTAGTGCGAGCACGTATCTGTCTGCGACTTACTGGACGTAGGAAAGACACTGCAGGGAAGCCTCTAAGGGTTCTACTTAGTGATAAGCAGGCTAAGAATATATTTCAGGAACAACTAGAAAAACAGTTAGACAGACATATAGGTTGTGCCCACCCCGAGGCAGAGTGGAATGACATCCGAAAAGCTGTGGAAACAGCAGTGATATCCGCTAGTAAGGTAAGCCATAAGGTCAGGGAGAAACAGTGGATCTCGGCAGCATCTACCACACTGATAGACGCTCGAAAACTCATCCCTCCTGGCTCTGAACATAACGAAGAGCGGAGTCAGCTTAAGCGAAGGCTAATAAGAAGCCTACAAAATGATCGTGAACAGTGGTGGGTAGCGAAAGCAAGAGAGATGGAAAAGGCAACGGCAATAGGTAACAGCAGACAGCTATTCAGACTTGTTAAAGAAACCGGTATTAAGAACCCAAGTATCAGTGAAACTATCTTAGACAAAGATGGACATATCATTCATTCTCAATCCAGGAGATTGGATCGATGGGCAGAACACTAGGGATCAGTTCAACTGGCCTTCAGCCACACTTCAGTTACCCACGATCCCCAGTCGTCCTGAATGGCGAATTGAGGTAAGTCCTCCAACTCTCTACGAGGTTGAAAAAGCTATAGAAAATCTAAAGCGAGGGAGAGCCGCAGACCCTGATAGGTTTACCCCTGAGATTTTTAAGGATGGTGGTCCAGTACTAGCAACGAGATTGACTGTAGTCTTAGGTGGAATCTGGGAACTGAACGTAATTCCATCTGACTGGTCCCAATCACTGATTGTGCCAGTCTATAAGAAAGGACAAAAGTTCACCTGTGACAATCACAGAGGAATTACTTTGACTAATATAGTGTCTAAAATATTAGCTTCAATAATACTTAGACGCCTAACCAAAGCTCGTGAAGAGCAGACTAGAGAAAACCAGGCTGGTTTTCGACCTGGACGTGGTTGCACAGACCAGATATTCACTCTACGTCAGGTCCTAGAACATAGACATACATTCAGACGTCCCACAATAGTAGTATTTCTTGACCTTAAGGCGGCATTTGACTCCGTTGATCGTGAGGTTCTATGGCAGTGTTTGTCAGTGAAAGGAGTACCAAAGAAGTACATTAACCTCATAAAGGCTCTCTACTCGAACACAACTGGTCGAGTTAGAGCCTATGGCGAACTGTCATCAGAATTGGTTACCTCAAGTGGCGTTCGTCAGGGCTGTCCACTCTCCCCATTCTTGTTTAACTTTGTCATTGACATACTTTTAGAGATAGCACTTTGATCAGCTAAACCTCCAGGAGTTGAACTTTTACCGGAAGGCTCACTTGTTGACTTAGAATACGCCGACGACATAGTTTTACTCGGTGAAGACGCTGACAAAATGCAGAGTCTTCTGACCACTATAAGCAACTATGCAGGCATGTTCGGAATGCGATTCTCTCCCTCGAAGTGCAAAATGTTACTTCAGGATTGGGTTGCATCGACACCTGAACTAATGATAGGGAGTGAAGTAGTTGAGCGTGTAGACCACTTCACTTATCTTGAGAGTCTCATCAGCCCTTGTGGTCTGGTATGTGACGAAATCTCAGCACGGATACAGAAGGCTCGTCTAGCTTTCGCCAACTTGCGTCATTTATGGCGTAGGCGAGATATCCGTCTAGCAACCAAAGGACGGGTTTATTGTGCAGCAGTTCGCTCCGTCCTACTTTATGGCAGTGAAACATGGCCAATAAGAGTAGAGGATATTCGTAGGCTACTAGTGTTCGATCATAGGTGTCTTCGAAGCATTGCTCGTATATCCTGGGACCACCGGGTAAGTAATGCAGTTGTTAGGAAACGAGTACTAGGTAGGGATGGCAAATCGATTGATGAAGTAGTGAAACTTCATCAGTTGAGATGGCTGGGATATGTGTTACGTATGCCCGACCACCGACTGCCCCGACGTGCAATGTTTCATGGTGTAGGAGTAGGTTGGAAGAAAGCTAGGGGTGGCCAGACCAAAACGTGGTACAAATCCATGAAGTCACTGACAAGTGGACTGGGTCATGTTAGTAGGTGTAGACTACTTGGTTGGGACTCGCGAGATGATAGCAACCGATGGTTAGAGACCTTGAATGACATGGCTCAAAATCGTTTGCAATGGCGAAGGTGCATCCACTCTTAGTGTTCTACCAAATTCTAATCTTCTGAATTCCTCATGTCTTTACCTTTTTCTCTTTCCAAATTTATTTAACTGTACTATACTCCTTCAATAATTTCTTCAAACCCTAATCTTTTGGATTTCTGATTATACTCCTACTACTTCTACCACTATGGGATTTGAATCGATAACTGCATCTCTGTGCTAATGTGGTATGGCAACTCGAACTGATGTATGTACGTACGAAGTTCTACGTTGTGACTGACTGACTGACCACATTTTGCTGAAACTGTATTGATCCGCAAACTTTCATTGGACAACTACCAATAGTCAATAATTTGACAGAAAACAACTTTTGTTTATCCATTAAGTAATAATATTCGTTTTTATTCAGTATGGACAGACAAAACATTGTACATATATGACAAGGAAAGAAAGAAACGTTTAAACCAGCTGAAATAAAATTCATAATGATGAAAGTAAAGAGTGATATATATCAACAAAAGACAAGGTAATAATAGTATCATTACTAATAAGGTCTTCCGCGACTGCTACGCCCACCCCGTTGACCTCTTCCGTAATTAAAATCACCAACGACTGGACCCTTTGTAGGCTAAAATGAAAACGGGTAGAGATTAAATATATTATCTGGCAAAGTTTCCAACTATCACCATCAATCAAAAACATTTAACTACAACAACTAGTAACACACTTTTATAGCAACTGGTGCTACACAAATACAGGTCCGTGTAAATGCTGTCAATTGATCTCTAATATTATACGCATTCATGCAGTTTTTCTCATTTTTTGGAGATGGCATACTACTAAACAACACAGTAAGATAGCATTGAGGGAAAAAGAATGACATGTGGGAAAACAGAAGCACAAATTATAATTTGAAAGGGGGCGACTGGAAGCGATAACCTTGATGTGATCGATCGTTTTCTTGATCCTATCGCTCACCAACACTGATTGTCGACACAACCAGTTTCGAAAGGCGAGCATATAGAAAGATTTAGAAAACCGATGTTAGTAGTAAGTGGTTACAAAAGTTGATATTATGTTTTATATTGTCGTTACTAAAGTTCTCTCTGCTTTGAATTCAGTCTAAAATAAAAATACATAGTAAGGTGAGCTGTGTTGTAAAATATACCAAACACATTATTCAGTGTTGTCACCTTATTAAACAAAACCTTTTGCGTATCTGTGTAATATGAAGTTACTACTCACATCAAACCCCAGTGACAGAGTGACGGAAATAGCTTTATAATGTGAGTCTTCAAATGAAGTGCATTATTATGTACAATATAAAATAGTTAAATGACAAAATCCAACGAAATGACGCTTAAGTATAATAGATTATCATCATTAACGGTAAATGCACCAATTAAAAGACTCACTAACAATGAGTAAAATAGACATTGTATTATGAACCCCAGTTTGCCTTTTTGTAGATGCAAAACGATGTCGATAGTTGAAGTTGTCGTTCGGTATGCTCAGGAAACTAGTTCTACGTTTAGAAAGACAGTTGTGTATTTTTGACGCTTTGCGAAAATGGTGTCACCTCCAATGATTGATACTAATATTACAAACAAAGCAATTCTCTTATTATCAAAATACAAAGTTGCTATGGTGTGTCACAGAGAAGTGGATGTCTTTATCTAGGTAATTGCGAATGCGCAAATTTAAATTTGACCAGTTTGGCAATTGTATGTTATTTAGGAGCTAATCTAATCACTGATGAAATGCTATGACGACCTAGCAGCCGAATCTCTGATAAGTTAATCAGGATTGAAACCTATTGACAAGGCGGTTGAGAGTGGAAACTTAAAACCAATATATTACAGCTTCAAATGCAGTTAGGGAACTCTGCACAAGCCACAAAACCCAATTGATCCTCTAGTTTTTTTCTGCGTGACATTCAAGTACCAACTGACATGAGTTGACGAATGAGAAAACATAATTTAACACTACAATACTCAGATACTGTTTCACCAGTCAACGAATAAAGATTTGTATGTTTGAAATAACAGAACAGTTAAACAGCAAACTGAACCAACAAAAATATTCTTGATTGGTACCTCAAGAAAAACCCAACTAGTTCAACCACTTATTTCATTGTATGTCCAATACATTACTAACAAAATTCACAGTTTATATCCTAGTGTAATCTCTTGATCGAGGCTACAGACAAACGTTTATTGACTTCGAGACGACCCAATAAACGAGTCTATGTTGTCATTCAAATCACGTCTTTGACCGTTGATTTGCATTCGAAGATGATTTATTTACAAACTGTAGTCCAACTCAGGACAAGTTGTTACTAAACGTTAGTCACTGCCTAGTGCGACGTGTAATAGTGATGATTAACACAAGAGGAATTTAGCGAAAGACCCGTAATGGCCAAATGAAAACGCGGCGTTGATTTTCGAAATCACAGACATTTGGCTTGAAGTGCGTTATGAGGTGTAGGTATCCTGTATCGGTTAAGCGCGATAGTCGTACTCTATAGCTCACAAGTGGTCTCAGTAGGATAGAGGTTATCGTTTCTGTACATCCTGAACCTTATAGACATTCCGTAATTCTGAAACTTCGAACTGATTCTTTACAAATCAACATTTAGTTTGTTGTACGGTGATCAATACTACTAAGACTGCCTATTACATAATCTTTGTTGACGTTTATTTTGTGGACTATATTTATCTGCATTGATGTGGGTTGTAATCCTGTGGAGAGTCTCGGCTCCTTCGGTAATCTAGATGTACATTGATGACGAATACCAAGCAAAATGATATCATGGATTTGCTCACAATTTTATCCAACCGTTATTACGTAACGGTTAGTCCAAAGTCATTTGATTTAACTTTCGATTAACACCTCCTTATCGACAACCAGAACACAAAATCGACTGTGAAAACCTTCCATGGAAAATCGTACTAGAAAACACTGATGGGTTCACGTAGTGCTCTGTATGATAGTGGTACACAACAACTTAGTTAAATGTCACATGGTCTGCTAGTTAAATTTTGTGACTAGTCACACTCACACCAAGTTCATGTGCTTCAAATTGGGAATATACAACATTTATAAGCACGAAATTATGATATATTTGGTCGATCGATGGCAACACAAATAATGCAGCTCTTTGCAGTCGACTTTCAGTCACGTACCATCTGCGTTTATAAAGACTAATTATACCACCCATTTGTCCAAACTAAAGTAGATAAAAGTTGGGGATTTGAATGTCACACCTGTTGGTTATAAACCAATCGTTTCCTCTGGACACTAAAGTCACCATTTATTTCGATCTGAAACCATCACAGTATTATTGTGGATAGGGGGTCAATATAATAATAGCAACAATGTTACAATCCCTTACTTGAAAGACAAAATCTTGATGTGAAGCAGAAGATAAGCCAGGCTCAAATAACATCATACCACCCATTTGTTGGTTGATTGAAGCCATTTGATACGGATCAGTCACATAACCATCACCCAATGCTACACCTCTTCCATTGCTCATGTATGGCGTCGTCTGACCATACATTTGAGCATAACCACCACCAACTCCTCTGCTACTGATATTGCTGCCAACAACACATCTTCCACCATTCCAAGATCCATCACAACTATAACCTTGTTGTGTATAAGGAATTAAAAGCAACAACTTAAGCATTCGACGTAATTAACAAATGTATGTTTAGCATACATTTTGCTGATGGATTTGGTTCGCTTAAATGATGCGATGTGTACTAAATCTTTTTCCCAGTGTATAAAACTACTTGGTGTTTCTAGTGGTCATATATTCCCTGAACTGGATAGTTTCATTGAAAAGCTTTTATTGTCGTCACAGACAGAAGCATTTACCTAAATCACTATCTATACATATGTATATATACACTGAACAATATGGATTAGGATTTGATGGTGAAGTTTCGTTTCGATTCATTCATTTTTCTTTAGGATTAATTATTAATTTACTGAGTGCCTGTGAAAGATTCACTTACAAAATCCATAAATTTATTGCTTACATTTACTCAATAATCACTACAGATTCACAGAATGTTTGAGTCGTGTGGCGATAGAGAAGAGTCACGAGAAAAAATCCACTTATTATTTCTTTACGGATGTTATTCACCTCAAATCGTTTTAAGTAAAAAGACAAGTTGGTTCGTTTGAAACCTTATAGATATCAGTTTAGTTTGTAAATAGTATTTGACACTGACCAACAGTATATGAGATGCAACTGAAAACGAGGGAGTAATGGACACCTGTTTCGTCCTAATATCAGACTCCTCAGAGGTGTATACTGGGAATAAATGTAGCCCATAAGCTGACAATATTATGCAAACCTAAGGTTACAATAACGAACGAAAACAAGCCAAAGATCAATTACAGGACGATTCGAAAACACTGAGGCAAACATCATGAAGGGAATAATGAACACCCTCTTCGTCTAAGTCTACGTATCACCAGTTAGCTGTAAAACCACAGGACGTCTCTTCTCTCGTGTCAACACATACAGACAACTGTGAACATGAGTTCGACTGTGTGGATGTTGAAATATTGAACAGAGGAAACATGAAATCAGCCAGAGAGTTTTTAGGAGCCTATCACTATGATAAAGTACCAACCAATAAACATATAGAAATCGACCAAATCTGTCAACCAACGCAAAGAAGGATTAGCGATTGTAAGGTTTGATAGGTAAACAACTAGAACAAACATACAAGCAACGATCACACGGTCACAGATAACAGACGACCAAACTTCAGGTCAAAAACCAAGTTATTAGTCGATTGTAGAGAAATTGTAGACGCATGTAGCGGTATATAAATCCATAAAGTAAATAGTTCTGCGAGTCTTCAGTATTGATGCTGATCTTATAACTTTTACTGAAAACACCCTTTCTGAAGGCACCCAATCACGCATCACACCAGGACGCTAGTGGATACGCTGTGCAATACATCCCTTGTAACTACTAGCCAGCTTAGATCGAAGAATTCTTAGCACGTCAACAACCTTCCAAATATATCTCCGAACTTATTCAGTCCTGACCGCTGATTTGATAAGCTGGTATACTTCGATTATAAAAGTGCTACGAGTAAATGCGTTGTCAAACTCCATGATACTTGTGACATCTTCAGTGGTGAGCCCGATTTTATCTGCTACACCAGACGATGAACTGCGGGTCTGCTTTTTGTTTTAACATTATACATCATTTTTCACTTTTACATATCGTGAAATTTTTGTATTCTTGGATATTTTTCGTCCATTTATACATTTTATTTTGATAATAATAGAACAGGCACCCAAATTGTTGAGGATTATTACTCTTACGTCCACCATCTTTAAATTCATTCCATTTTGGTCGGATAATAATGAAACCTGATCCTGCTATCCTTCGTGAAATACGGTCTGATGATGTATTTGAGAACTACAATGAAAGCTCCACAACTAATCCACCCACCCCAGAGATTACAACACCAACAGTTTCGTCCTGAGCTACAAATATTTTTGTTGTCACACATGTGTTTGGTTTGCGCATTCTGAACTTAACTCCTTACTAATCATTATCTTAAAGTATGATCAACTAGCGGAAATGGGCAAATACCGAAGCAGCCGTTCAAAAGATTCTTACGTTAACAGGTACCAGTCAAATTCACTCCTGATGATTATTAATGGGAAATACAAATCCTTACAATTGATAATCACACTTTCTTTAGTTCAGTAAAAAAAAACATCCTCAGTAATTTACTGAGTATATAGTGGCGCCGAATTTGTTTGTGTGTAATCATAGTTGGTTAGCTGCAGTTTGAACAAACGACGACGATTTAATTGTTTTTAAATAAACTGTCCATAACTATTTTAGCAATGATCATCAATCCTTCAAATACATTCTGACTATGATGTAAGTGTTCACAAATGATTGAATACAAATGTTCATGAGGATTAGGATGAATAATATTTACTGTGTGGAGATCTTGATAATATCAGTTAAAAGGCGATTTATTAATTTATTTATTCAAACACATAAATATTGGTACAAGGGGGCACCAGACATATATGCGTCACACAAATCTCATTTCATTTGTGTGAGGGCTGTGATACTGCCCGGCTGCCCAAATTGAAAGAGGTGGTTTTCTTAGGGAGCCGCACCCGGAGACTTTGACCTAGAGGTCTAATCCACAAGGCAGTGGAGCATCGTGAGGAGATGCAGTCCCATGGTAGCCGGTGACCAACGATTGATTCATACGCCATTTGTTCTTTCAGGATACTGGAGCCCATGTGCACCATTGGTTTGGAATCAGGGTTTTCCAACTCCCCTAGGTGAAATTTCCGTGTGCACCAACTCGGTTAAAGCGCCGGACATTCGCTTTTTTTCCTCTCGATTTCGTAAACAACACCCTCACTGAGAGAAGGCAGTGAGTAGGACTTCCCTGGTAGAGGCTATACACGCGTGGCCATGTGAGAGCATTTCGAGGAAAGCGGACACTCCTTAATCTCAGCCGTACCAGAGTATTTGGGAAAGTTTTGTAAACAATGGAAATATCATTTTTAAAAGAACAGAATGATAAGGGAGTGTAGAACAAACAAGGCTCAGCACGACAGTGATTTGCAAAGGAACTGGTACATACAAATAATTTGAATTGGTTGTCATATGAGTTCCATAAACAATGTGGTATTTGAGAACAATCTACATGAGAAACTGCTTCAAATTAGGCAGTCAACTTGACCACTTTAAGGCTTGAAGTGTTTCAATTTCAATTACACAAAGAGTTTCATACTGGAACGAGACAATTGTTCAGTGCTTCTTAATCTTCAAATAATTGTCTAGCTAAATTCTGTTACTGAAACAATCTGCTTACAAATTTTATTCCTGTAGTACATTTACTAACCACGAGTTGATGTACTTCATTTCAAAATAATCTTGTGTGAGATTTGTTTGTTGTACTGTCCAACTAGTTGGATCAAAATGGATTCAGTGAAACTTGAACATGAGAGCCAACAAATAGGATCCTACTGTTCGATTTGCGAATTCACCTCACTTGTTTAACTTCATCTTAGATGTCTTCATGAAAATCACACTCTTCATCCAACGTCATATATATATATATATATATATATATATATATATATATATATATATATCGGCATGTTTAACTACTGATTAACAACTGTCTACGTGTACTTAGTTTTTCTTTTTAACTGTTCAATAGTTGCAGTAGATGAACAGTTATTCAAGAGTGCATATGATATGTTACTATGTTTATACTAGAATGTAGGATAAGTAATCTAATTCAATAGACTATAGATTACAGACCGTAAATTGTTGAATAAACTTGTAATACTACTATTACTGTTTTTCAGCAATATCCTATAGAATAAATCAATTAAAAATAACACTCCATTAAAAGTCAATAAAAAGCTTACGCCAATAGATAAACAGAATTTAAATAAACTATGTATACAGCAGAGTAATTGAACGCTTACCACTATTACCACCCTGAAAACCCCCACGACCGCCATAATGGCCGTCGCCACCACCACCGCGACTACCTCTCTGTGTACCACCACCCCTATCTGGTTGACGTTGTTTAAAAGCAGGCATTTCAGGTGGAGGAGGCTCCAATTCCCATGCTCTACCACCTCGATCAGGGACCCATAAAACAGACAAAAAATAACCAAAAATATATAATAAATCAGTATCATTCTCAGTTGGTGGAAAAAAAGCATTAGCGACTATGGTGAAGTGAAGTATCACAATTAACAGTTGTATGCGTCAGCGTTAGAAACACTGATTTACAAAAATAATTCCAATGGTGTATTTGAAGGCTTTTTCCCAAGGATGACAGGTCAAATGAATGTTCTTTTTAACGCAGTAATTTACATGAAACAATAAGAGACAAATATTACCATGATCGACAGACTTCATGATTTAAAAAAATATAATCATCTCAAAGTAAACTTAGAACGCTCGGATTTCAACCGTTAGAGGTACTACGTTCGCATCATGCTTGAAAACCTCCCAATGTGCAAGTTGGTATTTATTAGTTGTCCTTCATAACAACAAAACTCCGCCTGTAGCTCCTCCGGGGGCTACTGGCGGTCCCAAGCACGGGTAAAGGAGGAGGGTTTAGCATGGGGTTAGCGAACCCATCTCATAGAAAGCCAACTCGCTAAAAAAACGCTAACCAGAAAAAATTAATTCAAACCATTTAAACTCTGCCCTGGGAGTTGAAGGAAGAGTTATGACGCCTCATGATGAAAGCCGAGTTCCTTCGAAAGTCATGAGGCCGATACACCTAACAACCAGAGCAACACTCTGTATAGGTATATGGAACGTCCGGACAATGTGGGAGACCGGAGGAGTCCTCCAAATTGTTGCGGAAATGAGGAATTACAACCTGGAGATCAGTGAAACAAATTGGACGCAGGTCGGACAACAACGACTATCTTCAGGGGAGCTTCTGTTATACTCCGGCCATGAAGAACAAAATGCCCCACATACACAAGGAGTTGCATAAATATTGTCCAAACAAGCACAAAATGCATGGATCTCATGGACCAATGATCATCAAAGCCTTCAACATGTCAGGAGTTTCTGGGCCACAAGAAGCCCCAGCACAAGGAATGGATCACTGTTGGTACACTGGATAAGATTGAAGAAAAGAGGAACAAGAAGGCAGCAATCAATACCAGCCGAATAAGAGCACAAAAAGCCAAGGTACAAGCCGAATACAAACAAGCAAGTGAAGAGGAGCATCAGAACCGACAAACGTAAATATGTGGAAGATCTAGTAATGACAGCGGAAAAGGCTGCAAGAGAAGGAAACATGAGACAACTGTATGATACAACAAACAAGCTCGCTGGAAATTACCGTAAACCAGAACGACCAGTGAGAAGCAAGGGAGGAAAGATATTCACCAACATTTAAGAACAACGGAGCAGGTGTGTAGAACACTTCGAAGAACTAATGAGTCGACCAGCTCTACTGAACCCACCCAACATCGAAGTAGCACCCACGGATCTCCCAATTGATGTTGGTCCACCAACAATCGAAGAGATCAGCATGGCCAGAAGACAATTCAAAAGTAGCAAAGCAGCGGGACCAGACAACATTCCAGCAGAGGTACTAAAAGCAGATGTAGCAGCAAATGCATAGATACTCCACATTCTCCTCAGTAAGATTCGGGATGAAGAACAAGTACCAACAGACTGGAAAGAAGGACTTCTGATCAAGATACCAAAGAAAGGCGATCTCAGCAAGTGCGACAACAACAGGGGCATCACTCTTCTCTCAATACCAGGAAACGTCTTCAACAGGGTATTGTTAAACAGAATGAGGGACTCCGTAGACGCCCAACTTCGAGATCAACCAGCTGGATTTCGTAAGGATCGATCGTGCACAGATCAAACTGCAACTCTACGTATCATTGTGGAACAATCAATTGAATGGAATTCATCACTCTACATCAACTTCATTGACTACGAGAAAGCATTTGGTGTGAGTCTGCTGCCTGAAGAACGACTTCTCGACCTCGAGTATGCGGATGATATTGTCTTACTGTGCGATAATGCCCAAGGCATGCAATCAGCACTTAATCAGTTGGCAATCAGTGTCCGCAGGTACGGCATGTGCTTTGCACCCTCCAAGTGGCGTGAGTGATGAGATTGATGCACGTATAATGAAAGCCAGAGCGGCTTATGCCAATCTGGGTCATCTTTGGCGCCTTCGTGATGTTAGTCTGGCTGTAAAAGGTAGGATCTACAACGCGTCGGTGAGAGCAGTTTTGCTCTTTGCTTGTGAAACCTGGCCTCTCTGAGTTGAGGATGTTAGACGTCTCTCTGTGTTCGATCATAGCTGTCTCCGAAGCATTGCTGACATCCAGTGGCAACACCATGTTAGTAATGCACAGGTTCGCCATCGTGTGTTCGGGCGCAGAGACGATAATTCAATTGGTGTCACCATCTTGAAACATCGACTTCGGTGGCTTGGACATGTTCTACGAATGTCTTCCCAGAGAATTCCACATCGTGCATTATTTGCCGACTCTGGGACTGGTTGGAAAAAGCGGAGAGGAGGTCAGTGAATGACATGGTGTCGTGGCATGAAAGTAAGCTGCAAAGGGCTAGCTTTTGTTGGTCCTTCACGACTCCCTGGCTGGGGTCCAAGAGATGGTGCAACACAGTGGCTAGAGACGTTATCAGATATAGCTCAGAATAGAAGTCAGTGGCGATCCTGCTGCAACCTTCATTTACTCTCTACATAATGAGTAGTCTTAACTTTCCTAACTGAAAGAGTCTTCTGGTTGTACATTTCAGTTCCCCCCATCATTACTATTTTCTTTTTTGCCCTTCTTTTATATATACACATCTTCCTTCTCCTCCCATTCTCATTATTCTGTGTGGCGCATATTTATCCGGTGCCCTTTGTACCAATATATATGTGATTAAATAAAATAATAAATAAATATGATAGCGTGGACAAGACAACACTATGGAGGCTTCTTCGACACTAAAGTTGCTTACTCTCACCCTTTCTCTTTCTTCTGGTGGTCGATTGAATCATGAAGACGCCAACATCTGGAGGGAAGCACGGGATACAGTGGACAGCTATGATTCAGTTGGACGATTTAGACTTCGCAGATGATCTGGCTGTTCTATCACACACTGCACAAAAAATGCAGGACAAGACGACCAGTGTAGCAGCGGCCTCAGCAGCAGTAAATCTCAATATAAACAAAGGGAGAAGCAAGACTCTCAAATACAATACAGCATGCACTAATCGAATTACACTTGACGGAGAAGCTTTGGAGTATGTGAAAATCTTTATATATCTGGACAGCATTATCGATGAACTCGGTGGATCTGATGCAGATGTGAATATGCGGATCGGCAAAGCGAGAGCAGCATATCTACAATGGAAGAACATCTGGAACTCAAAACAATTGTCAACCAACACCAATGTCAGAATTTTCAATACAAATGTCAAGAAAGTTCTACTGTATGTGGCGGAAACCTGGAAAACAACAAAGGCCACCATCCAGAAGATACAGGTGTTTATTAATAGTTGCCTACGCAAGATACTTCGGACCCGTTGGCCAGACACTATCAGCAACAAGCTACTGTGGGAGACAACAAAACAGATTCCAGCGGAGGAAATTCAGAACAATAACATGAATGTCGCAAACATGTTAAACATGTGTAAATGAAAAAGATCGATAGTACTTTGAGAAGCATTGGATATGATTATTAAACCCAGAAACAATAGAAACTAGTGAGCAATGAAAATAGAAAATGAATCACATTTTGTCGTTATTAATTGTCAACAACCACACTTACTTTACCAATTAAAATTTTGTTCAGTTCACATGATGTATAACGACGTGCATTGGTACCGCTCGTCTTTTCAATTTGTAATATCATGTTGTCACGTACAGCTAAGACATTAGGAATGCCAGGATATGGAATTAGACCCATTCTCTCACGGATTTGATTATATACAGTAGTGATTTTGTCTAAACTAGACTGTCAGACAAGAAAAACTTTAGAAAAACTCAGAGCAAAAAACGGGAATTAAAGTAGTACTTTAAACAAAAATCATGGTGAGTATCGTATTTAAAAAATATAGAATTGATACAAACTATAAAAACTGTAGAGCCTAGTATAAATACAGATCGGTTCAATTTGACACAGATCAACTAAAGTCCGAGATATTCTCACTAACAACCGAATTTCCAATGGCTGCTTCCTTGATAAGTCTGAACATTTATCTGCTGCTACATATCGTTGGTGCTTTTTCCATCTCTTCTGCCTTTACACACCACCACTATTCCCGATTATTGCGTAAGCTCTTGATCAACCCACGTTTAAGCTGCCTCCGCTCGCATCGTGTTCGGAGTCAGACGGATGGGCTTCCGAGTATCTATCACTTCGGCAGAGCCCACTGAAATCCCCTGACTTTTCTTAACCTTTTGTTTAAGTTACCGGAAGAAATCACTGCTGTTTCTACAGTTTTTGGATATCATGTCAAGCTACCTTAAGATGGATAACACTCTCATGGTTGAACAACTTCTCTAGTTGTATCTGGAATATATACTTAACGTCCCAAATGATTAGGTTAAACTTTGAGGAGTTTTCTTGTTGTATCTTTTCTACGTCCAGTAAGATGCAGACAAATGTGTTCGAACTAGAGCATGATTTGAATCTTCTAAATAGGGAAACCAATATTGTCATTTAAATACAGGTTAGTAAGAGTCGTGTAAACCATATCCAGAAATTATACTAGTCATCCATTCATTGGGCGTAACGGGAATTCCAACATAAATCAAAGGGTTAGTACTTACTTACTTACTTACTTACGCCTGTTACCCCTTGTGGAGGAGCATAGTCCGCTCACCAGCATTCTCCATCCAACTCTGTCCTGAGCGTTCCTTTCCAGTTCTTTCCAGTTGCTATTCATCCCTTTCATATCGGCTTCTATTACTCGGCGAAGTGTGTTCTTTGGCCTTCCTCTTTTCCGCTTCCCTTCCGGATTCCAAGTTAGGGATTGCCTTGTAATGCACATTGGTGATTTCCTCAATGTATGTCCTATCCACTTCCAACATCTTTTCCTAATTTCCTCTTCAGCTGGAAGCTGGTTTGTCCTCTCCCATAAAACGCTGTTGCTGATAGTATCCGGCCAATGGATGTTGAGTATTTTGCGTAGACAACTGTTTATAAATACTTATACCTTCCTGATGATGGTCGCAGTAGTTCTCCACGTTTCAGCTCCATACAGTAGGACTGTCTTGACGTTCGTATTGAAGATTCTGACCTTGAAATTGGTTGAGAGTTGTTTTGAGTTCCATATGTTCTTCAATTGTAGAAATGCTGCCCTTGCTTTGCCAATCCTCGCCTTTACTTCTGCATCCGATCCCCCTTGTTTATCAACGATGCTCCCCAGGTACTTGAATGTTTCCACCTCTTCCAGAGTTTCGCCATCAAGTGTGATTGGGTTGGTGTTCTCCGTGTTGCATTTGAGAATCTTGCTTTTTCCTTTGTGAATGTGGAGGCCTATCGATGCGGAGGCTGCTGCTACATTTGCTGTCTTCATCTGCATTTGGTCGTGTGTATGAGAGAGGAGGGCTAGGTCATCTGCGAAGTCCAAATCATCTAATTGATTCTGAGATGTCCATTGTATTCCGTATTTCCCGTCAGATGTCGAATTCTTCATAATCCAGTCAATCACTAGAAGGAAGAGGAATGGGGAGAGTAGACAGCCTTGTCTGACTCCGGTCCCTACTGGAAATGCATCTCTCAGCTGTCTTCCATACACGACTTTGCACTGTAGTCCACCGTATGAGTTCTGGATAATGTTAACAATCTTCTGAGGAACTCCATAGTGTCGAAGAAGTTTCCATAATGTTCTCCTGTCCACGCTGTCAAACGCCTTCTCATAGTCAATGAAGTTGACGTATAGTGATGAGTTCCACTCGACTGATTGTTCAACGATGATCCGTAGTGTCGCAATCTGGTCTGTGCACGACCGATCCTTACGGAATCCAGCCTGATGATCCCTAAGTTCGGCGTCCACTGCGTCTTTCATCCGATTCAGCAGCACTCTGTTGAAAACTTTTCCTGGTACTGGTAACAAACTGATACCTCTGTAGTTCTCACATTGGCTCAGATCTCCTTTCTTTGGTATCTTGATGAGATATCCTTCTTTCCAGTCCGTTGGCACTTGTTCCTCTTCCCAAATCTTCTTGAATAGAAGGTGAAGCATATTTGCAGTTATTTCAATGTCTGACTTCAGTGCTTCTGCTGGTATATTGTCAGGTTCTGCCGCCTTCCCACTTTTGACTTGTCTGATGGCCATCTTGACTTCTTCGATCGTTGGTGGAGTGACATCTATTGGAAGGTCTGTGTGGGCTGCTTCGATGTTCGGTGGATTTAATGGGGCTGGTCTATTCAGCAGTTCCTCGAAGTATTCTGCCCATCTTTTCCTCTGTTCTTGAATCTCGGTGATTGTGTTTCCTTTTTTGTCTTTGACTGGTCTCTCTGGTTTGCCATATCTCCCTGCCAATTTCTTCGTTGTATCATATAGTTGTTTCATATTTCCTTCCCTTGCAGCTTTTTCCGCCGTCGTTGCTAGTTCTCCCATGTATTTCTGCTTGTCGGCTTTAATGCTTTTCTTCACTTCCCTGTTTGCTTCTGCGTAGTCTGCTTGTGCTTTGATTTTCTCTGCTCGTGTTCGGTTGTTGTTAATTGCTAGTTTCTTGTTCTTCCTTTCTTGAATTTTGTCCAGGGTTCCCATAGAGATCCATTCCTTGTGATGATGCTTCTTAGGACCAAGAACCTCCTGACACGTTGAAGTTAGTGCTTCTTTTATCCCTTTCCAGTTATCCTCCAAAGTAGTTTCTTGTTCTTTCAGTAGATCCTGTAGAGCTTGGAACCTGTTGTTGAGAGTTATATTGAATTCATGGAGCTTGTCAGTATCTCGAAGGAAGGCTGTATTAAACCTTTGTAGTGCTATTTGTCCAGTTGTCCAGTGTTTCTTAAGCTTCAGTCTCATCTTGGCCACAACCAGGTGGTGATCTGAAGCTATGTCAGCTCATCTCCGGGTTCTCACATCTTCCATTGATCTTCGGAATTTTTTGTTGATACAGATGTGATCAATCTGGTTCTCTGTGGTGTGGTCCGGTGAAATCCATGTAGCTTTGTGTATGCGTTTGTGTGGGAATATTGTGCCGCCTATAACCAATTTGTTGAAAGCACATAGGTTTGCAAGTCTCTCCCCATTTTCATTTCTCTCTCCTAGTCCATGTCGTCCTATTATATCTTCATATCCTGTGTTGTCCACTCCAACTTTAGCATTTAGATCTCCCATAAGGATGGTGAGGTCCTTTCGTGAGCACTTCTCCATAATTGATTGCAGCCTTTCATAGAACTGATCTTTATCATCGTCGTTGCTATCATTGGTGGGTGCATAACATTGGATAACGTTCATTGTGATCCCTTGCTTCTTTGTTCTGAATGATGCTTTGATTATCCTGGGTCCATGAGATTCCCATCCCACAAGTGCATTTTGTGCTTCTTTGAACAGCATTAGAGCAACTCCCTGAGTGTGTGGAGCATTTTCCCCTTCGTGACCGGAGTACAGCAGCATCTCTCCTGTACCTAGCCTTTGTTGTCCAGTTTGTGTCCAATGGGTTTCGCTGATTCCGAGTACTGCCAAGTTGTATCTCCTCATTTTCATTGCTATTTGGCTGGTCTTTCCTGTCTCCCACATTGTCCGGACGTTCCATGTACCTATAAAGAGTGTTGCTCTGGTTGTTAGAAGGTGCATCGGTCTCGTGACTTCCGAAAAATTTCGGCTTTCATCATGAGACGTCATTATTCCTTCAACTCCCAGGGCAGAGTTTAAATGGTTTGAATTATTTTTTCTGGTTAGCGTTTCTTTAGCGAGTTAGCTTTTCTACGGTATGGGGTCGCTAACCCCATGCCCAACCCTCCTCCTTTACCCGTGCTTGGGACCGGCAGTAACTCTAGAAGAGCTACAGGCGGAGTTCAAAAAGCTAGTACACTCAACTAATTCAATGATGAATTACAGATTCCAACTAATCGTTTTTCGTTGATGACTAGGTTTTCTAGGTAGTTGTGGTTGCATATATTTTAAAAATTGACTTATTTCATTTGACAGTGGGCGTTGATGGTACGATTACTTCACTATGTGGTATTCCACTAGATAATTTTCAGAAATAAAAAAGAGTGATCAGCACTGTCTTAGGAGAGATGTGTTTTAGATTTCCCAAGTATATTTACTGAGATATTTTTTAGGGAAATCTGAAAATGAATTAAATCATCATTGATGGTCATATCAACATGACAGTATGACCACAAAATCTAAGAGATCGGTTACATATGGACTTTATGTAAGTGTTTTGGGGTTTGCGTTATATCTGGACGGAGAATAAGTTAATAGTAACCGCTATATAACTATATTATATGTATATTCATATTTCTTTTATTATGGGCTTTTATTTGATCTATTGACTATTATTGTATGATTTATTATTCTGAAGATATTTCCAATTTATTAGTAACAGTCTCTCACAATCACAGCCACTTCTTGGCTTGATCTTGTGTAATTGTTAGTTTTTATTTATGGTATGATGCGATCTGGTTTGTTTGTCTATAAACCCAGTATGCCTGAAATATATGATTCGTATAATGGAGGCTGATAATGGTGTTCTGGATTAAACCAATTGGGTCAGAAGAGAAGCTACTATCGCAATGTACCAATAAGAACTCAGGAAGAACTCTAGGCTGTTCGTCCAGGTTTATGCGTCACTGGCCTGGACAGTCGGTGTCTCCAACTGGCGATCGTATCACATGATAATTGATAGGCTATAAGAACATAACATTTTGGAGTGCTAGCTCCCTAGTCTCTCAAGCTTTTCTATCAACACCCGAAAATCACATAACAAGAGTGGGACCATATGACTATTTCTTCTGTTTATGATAATGCAGTGTGCCTGAAGAAGCCACTTATTTGTGACAAACGTTTCACTGCAGACCCATTCCATTACAATCAGTAGTATAACTTGGGACTCGGATTCGAGATGCAATGCTTATGATCATATCTTCACGAAAGTTATTTTTGTATATCATTATTATTATGATAAATTATAATTAATTAATTTTAGAAAACCTAACCAAAACGCTAAGATATCAACTCACTTTCGCTTTATCTGACCATTTGAAACTTTGTACAGTAACATCTAAACGTTTTAAAAGAGTAGCTTGGCGACTGGAATATTGTTGTTGTAGTAATGCTGCGATACGTATTATCTGTGACCATTGACGATCACTAATACCAGTCAGTGGGATAATTGATTTCCCCATATGATTGGGTGGGCATCTTGAAAGACTATCGGATATCTAATAGAAGAATAGTAATGCAAACAAATATAAATATTTCGGGAGAACGTCCAATCGTAGGATGATTTACATCATGAACTGACTTCAGTTAGATAACCAGTGGAAAACCGTGATGGGGGCAGTGAGCATCTATATCATCTTAGCATGAGGCTTCTAAACTCTCTATAACTATGTCTTAACATACAATCTCACTGATTAAGCTTAACGGATTTAAGCCAGAACTATATCCGATATACTCAGTTATTCATAAGCAATATAGAACCTGACACAAAATTCACTTGGCTCAACTGACCACATCTTATCAGTATAGTGAAGTGAAATTATTAAAACAAATGCTAGAGTAGGAGTAGGAGTAGAAAACAAACTCGCTAAAAAAACGATAACCAGAAAAAATGTGAGAATTACAGAGGCATCACACTACTGTCAGTACCAAGGAAAAACTTCAACAGTGTTGTTGAATCGGATGAAAGACGCAGTGACACGCAGCCAGACTGGATTCCGCAAGGATTGGTCATGCATAGATCAAATTGCAACACCACGGATCATCGTGGAACAATCAGCTGAGTGGAACTCGTCACTATACATCAACTTCATTGACTATGAGAAGGTATTTGACAGTGTGGACAGGAGAGCATTATGGAAACTTCTTCGATACTATGGAGTTCTTTAGAAGATTGTTAACATTATCCAGAACTCATACGGTGGACTACAGTGCAAAGTCGTGCATGGAAGACAGCTGAGAGATGCATTTCCAGTAGGGACCGGAGTCAGACAAGGCTGTCTACTCTTCCCCTTCCTCTTTCTTCTGGTGATTGACTGGGTTATGAAGACTTTGACATCTGAGGGGAAGCATGTAATACAATGGACATCTCAGAATAAATTAGACGATTTGGACCTAGCCCTCCTATCTCATACACACGAACAAATTCAGACGAAAACAGCAAATGTAACAGCAGCCTCTGCACCAATAAACCTCAACATACACAAATGAAAAAGCAAGATTCTTAAATACAACATGGAGAACACCAACCCAATCACACTTGATGGAAAATCTCTGGAAGATGTGGAAACATTCACGTACCTATGTAGCAGCATAATTGATAAACAAGGAGGATCGGATGCGGATGTAAAGGTGTGGAGTGGCAAAGCAAGGACAGCATTACTATGATTGAAGAACATATGGAACTTCAAACAACTATCAACTAATTTCAAAGTCAGAATCTTCAATACGAACGTCAAGACAGTCCTACTGTATGGAGCTGAAACGTGGAGAACTACTGCGACCATCATCAGGAAGGTATAAGTATTTATAAACAGTTGTCTACGCAAAATACTCAACATCCATTGGCCGGATACTATCAGCAACAGCGTTTTATGGGAGAGGACAAACCAGCTTCCAGCTGAAGAGGAAATTAGGAAAAGATGTTGGAAGTGGATAGGACATACATTAAGGAAATCACCAATGTGCATTACAAGGCAATCCCTAACTTGTCACCCGGAAGGGAAGCGGAAAAGGGGAAGGTCAAAAAACACATTACGCCGGAAAATAGAAGCAGATATGAAAAGGATGAATAACAACTGGAAAGGATTGCCCATGACAGGGTTGGATGGAGAATGCTGATGGGCGACCTATGCTCCTCCACGAGGGTAACAGACGTAAGTAAGTTAGTATTATTACATATGTTCTTACTGGATAATTATTAAGTAACCAGATTGTATATATCTATATTCCTTTCATCATAAACTTTTATATGTCCTATTGCTTACTATTATACGATTTACTATTCAGCAATTGTTTTCAATCAGTTACAGTCTCCCACACACATAGCCAATTTTAGCTTGATTTTGCATAATTGTTACTTTCATTTTATGGTGTGATGGGGTCTGGTCAGCTTGCATATAAATTAAGTATGTCTGAAATATACCATTCATATAGTGGAGGTTGATATTTGTGTCCTGGACTGAACGAGCTAGGTTAGGTGAGAAGCTACTATACAGAGGGCCAATAAGGAATCAGAGTTGACTCAAGCCAACTAGTGTTGTTTAACGTGTCATTGGCTTAGCACAGGGACAAGGTCATAGAAGTCGGTATTCTAGTTAGCAATTTTATCACGTGATAGTTAACAGGCCATATAATATAACCGAATACATTGAGGTATAGACGGTTGCAAGGAAAGCTGGAATAAACAGTCACAGTTAAATTTGTATGTTTGTTTGAAAATTTTAATATAAATCCTCATCTCGAAACATAATTCAATAATGATTCAATATGACATTTAGTTTCGACACTTGAAAATGTAGGTATGACTGTAAGAGAAACAGTGTTGTAAAAATAATAGATTTTAATAACCCAATGGCAAGAAATAAATTCGAAGATATTGTGATAACAACGAATGGTAACGGCAAATGGAAGATGAAATACTGTAAATGATAAAGACAGCTTAGTATATTGTTAAAAATATAAAACCACTGATATTCCCAGATGTTGTCTTGAGGCACCTAGAAAAGAATGTGAACATGTTAGACGACTGTACTTACTTACACCTGTTAACCCTCACAAAGGAGCATAGACCCACCAGCATTCTCCATTGGACTCCGCCCTGGGCAATCGTTCCCAGTAGCTATTCATCCTTTTGGCGACTGTAGTGTTATGCAAGTCTCTCCAACCATCCTAATTATGTAATTAGTATTCAGTCATATGAAATGGTAAATAGTTCGATTTTGCCACAAATTATTCAAACACAAATTACTAAATATATGATACTATTAGGACTTATCAAAAGGCACTTCCGAAATAAAAGCATGAACAAAATGAACATCTGCATAAGCTATGCACCGATTGTAATCACTTACACCTTTTTGAAGACAAGAATATATTACAGTAGATGCTGAGTCATCAGGAGGCATTTTTAAGCCAAGAGCTTTAAACGCTTTCTGCAAACAGGATAGAATTTCTACATTATCCTCTGAACTATCCACATCCATGAGATGATGTTCATTACTTTGTTTACCAACAGACTTCAATGTAGACAATTGTCTAGTAGCCATTATCTCCGAACATAGATATTCTGAGAAAGAAAAATAAGGACAAAATGTGAAACCCAGACAATGGTTGTATCACATCCCCCTGCATTATGTATTATGGTTGGGTAATAGTATTTATTGTATGTATAAACAGTTAATCCATCAGCAATGAGCAACATAAAACCTGACGCATATATACATCAGTTCAACTTCCTATACCACCGTATAGTGAGACGAAATTATAAGGATAATTTTAAGAATAGTAGTAGAAGTAGTAGAAGCTTACTGAGTTAAAAACTCATTTTCCTTCATTTTGGAAACAAATGAGTGACATTCTAAATTTTTATATAGAACAATAAACAATAACATTCTGGGCATAATTTACCATGAATCCAAGCAAACTAAGCTTTTATCTATGAAGCAATTACACAGTTAAAACATATGAAAATATCAAACTCACGTAAAAGCAAACTACGATTTTTAACAGAAGAAAAGCGGTCACAAATAGGTCCTTCCGTTAGCGCTGAATATGGACAACCTTTGAAATAATAAAAATCATTTGGTGAAATAAATTCACTTTGTCAAACGGGATACCTCATAAGTCACAAAATAATCAATAGTGTCAGTGATGCCTTAGTGGTTAAAAGACTCGAGAAACCGGCAAGGTCTCAGGTTCGAAGCCTACTCCACTTGTTTCTGTTCCCAGGTAATTCACACACGCTTAAAGTGATGGGCACGCACACCTGCATTTGATTATCAAGTTACATGAAAAGTAATTAAAATTTGTTGATCAACTAATAACGAATCTGACTCCCAGTTATTGTGTTGAAGCATAATAATATCATTTGTCTTTAATCAATCGAACAGTATAACTATGCGTGAGAAATACTTTGAAAACATCTGCGAGCGAATACTAGCAACTTATGAAAAACTAACCTTCAATGACGTTTTAAAGTCAAAGTGATGTGGAGTAAAATACTTGAAAATGGACTTACCATCTGATAATCAGACAGATAACTAGCCTACGCTACAAGTTTCATAATTTCATGAAAGTCAAGCCAGCCCTTTTGTTTACGTACCAACATTTCATCATTCATTGACCTACTGTGTTAGATGACATTACAGATCACTGTTAAGCAATCAATTGGATCAAACTCGTCATCATACATTAATTTCCTTGACTATGAGAAAGCATTTCACAGTATGAATAGAAGAACCTTATGGAACCTTCGTCGACACTATGGTGTACCTGAGAAGATTGTCATTATATGGACTACACAGAAAATTCATGAATGGAGGACAGCTGACAGATGTATTCAAAGTGAGGACCGGTGTCAGCCAATACTAATTACTCTCATCTTTTATCTTCTAGTTGTTGACTGGATTATGAAGACCTCTACATCTCAAAAGGAGCATGGAATACAATGGACAGCTTCAATGCAACTACACGATTTAGACTTTGCAGATGACCTAGGCCTTCTACCCCGTACACACCAACAAATGTAGGTGAATAGCCCCCAAGTGGACTGAGCCATGTTGGTAGGTGTAGACTAGCTGGTTGGGATGCGCGAGATAATAGCAATCGATGGTTAGAGACCTTGAATGATGTGGCTCGAAATCGTTTGCAATGCCGAAGGTGCATCCACTCTTTATGATCTTCCACATTTTAATCTTCTGAATTCTTCATGTCTCAATCTTTTTTCTCTTTCCAAATTTATTTCACTGCATTATACTCCTTGAACATCTTTAACCCCTGTGTTCCAATTACTGCTTATACTCTTACTACTTCTATACTCGTCCTTTAATTGATAGACGCATATTCAGTATTCACCATAGGTGATATCATTTGGAAAAAGCCAAACGAGCTCTTTGAATTCGTGTAGAGATCTCGACAGAAACCAACCCATTAGGGTTGGTCTGACTTCCGAGATAAGTAAGGTTGTCTATGAATTCGATTAATTCACTACCTATACTTAATTTAGAAGTTGACGCAGGCCAGTCCTGAAGCAACAATTTGTATTTACAGGAAGAAACGCATTCCAAACATCCTGGTACTAATGTTTGCTGCTGCCAAATTTTTATTTATTTATTTAAACACATATATATTGGTACAAAAGGGCACCAGGTACATATGCGCCACACTATTTGTGTGTGTGGGCTGTGATACTGCCCGGGTGCCCAAACCGAAGCAGGTGGTTTTCTTAGGGGGCCACACCCCGAGCCTTTGACCAAAAGGTCTGATCCACAAGGCAGTGGAGCATCGTGAGGAGATGCAGTCCCATGGTAGCCGTTGACCAATGACAGGTTCGTCCGCCATTCGTTCCATCAGGATACTGGAGCCCATGTGCACCATTGGTTTGGACCCTCCGTGTCCACCAACCCGGTTAAAGCGCCGGACATTCTCTTTTCGTCCTCTCACTTTCGTAAACAACACCCCCGCCACGAGAAGGCAGTGAGTAGGACTTCCCTGGCAGAGGCTATATATTCGCTGGCCATGTGAGAGCATTTCGAGAGGGAGAGTAGACTCTCCCCACTCTCAGCCGTACCAAAGCATTTGGGGGCGCTGCCAAAGCTTTTCATCAGCGTCTTCACCAAACAGGACTATGTCATCTGCGTATTCTAAGTCGATAAATGAATATCCTGGTAGATCGGTTCCCGAAAATTCAGTCAACAAGAAAATTATTTCCAGCGGCAGGTCTATAATGAAGTTGAACATAAATGGAGATAGTGGACAGCCTTTCCGGATATCACCTGAGGTTGCGGAATTAGATGACAGTTCACCATAAGCTCTGACTCGACCAGTAGTGTTCGAGTAAAGAGCATTCACAAGGTACTTCTGAGGTACATCTTCCAATGCCAGACACTGCCACAGAACCTCTCGGTCTACAGAATCAAATGCTGCTTTCAAGTCAAGAAAAACAATCGTTATCGGACGCCCGTAAACATGCCTGTGTTCTAAAATCTGACAAGTAGTGAATATGTAGTCAATACAGCCACAACCGGGTCTGAAGTCAGTCTGTTTCCCTCGTATCTGCAGCTCGCTAGTCTTTGTTAGGCGTCTGATAATTATTGAGGCTAGTATTTTGGATGCTGTATTGGTTAAACTAATCCCTCTCTGGTTATCACTGGATGATTTCCACCCCTTCTTATATATTATTGCTAATTGGTTTCCAGGACACATATGACCGGGTTGAATAAATGTCAGATGGAGGGCAACTCTGAGGAACACCACTTGAGTTCTAAAATGCTGGTGACAGCCGAAGTCGAATAAATGAAACTCCATTTTATAAAAGGGTTACACATTCAAAATTTCAGGTTTATGAAGTGATGTCACAAAACCACCAACAGCCATTTCTTAGTGAAATACTGTTTAGTTAGCCCTGAAATCTATGAGTAGCTTAATGAAGACTAAGCAATGATCACCAAATCACATTAAATTGACAGGTTTTTCCAAGCACCTTGCTTTTTATGTTGCCTATGTTGGTAAATGAATACCTGGTCGTAGCGTACGGAAGCTAAGGCATTGAGACATTTTATGAATGGAACCTTAAAAAAATTTACTAGATTCTTTATTGCTCTTGTCTGAATGTCAGTATATTGTCTAATTTACGATTAATTCCAACTCACCATAAGATATCAGAAACTTTTCCAAGCCGCTTGCGAAATTGGCATATTCATACTCATCTGGAATTTATTTCATAACAAAAATGAACCTGTAACCTGTAAGTGGATAAACATTCGAAGAGACATCGTGAGATTTTCCCAGTTCAAACACTAAATCACTAACTACTGATGAGAATTCATTGTCCTTCTCAAGAAAATTTCTTGATTCATAGTTTTTGCTGGTAGAAATAAACAAAAACAGGAATAGATTACCCGACAGCCTTGAGAAAGCTTAGGAGGTCATCCCTTGACTTTTTGGTCATTTTCCAAAAGTGCCGGGCAGTAAAGGGGCAAGTGGTTCGAATGATTCAAATGGTTGTGGAAGGGATAGAAGCTTTCGCTTAACGGGCTTTCGTGTCTAGTAGCAGTGGATCACCAATACCTCCAGGCAGGAACCTAGGTGTGAATCAAAGCGCGCGCTATTTAAAAGGACAGTGGTATTGTTTCACGTTGAGCTTAATTCACTGTTTTGATCGTAAATTACGTATCAAAACTACCGTTTACACTTTAATTGAATTTATTTCAGTTAACGTGACATTGTATTTGTGCGTTTTGATCCTGCTTTTGTGTATTTACTGCATCAAAGCATTCTTGGTCGACTGCGGCTTGTTTATTTGATGAGGTTGTGATTTATCTTACATATCTACCTTGCCTATCATTTTGCTTTATTCTAAGATGGTCGGCTCTGTACACAAGTGTGGACAGCCATATTTCTTATTCCCCGTGGAAGAAGGGATGCAATGTAACGAGTGTAAGAAGTAGTTTCATAAAATGTTCACCCGTTTAAGCCCTGCTGCCTATAAAAGGTGCTCGAAACCAAATTCTCATTGGCTCTGTATGTGTTGTTGCTCAAGCAAGACATTACTCATTTAGGAAGCCATCAGCCTTCTAGTGTTAGCTAAAAAGGTCGACGTAAGTCGTGCTGGCAACATGGATACTGATAATGAAGATTGTATCAGTGTCGTAAATGCTGCTGTGGCAGGTACCAGACACCCAATTTCGCAACATAAAGCAAAAATTTGTACTCCGGTACAACCAATGAAAGCCATGCCATTAAGTATTGAGGGACCAGTCGCTTTAGCAGCGACTGAGGACCCGGCTAGAACCACTATCGTCCAGAATAGTTCCAATCTGGATGCTGAGAATAGTGGTAAATGGATTACGCGGAAACGTAAAAGAGAAGGAAAAATACCCAAATAAAGCGCGCGTATAGTCGATAAGTCATCGTTGGAGTCACGTCCATCGCATCAGGCAACTCCGCTCAAGTCTGTATCTGTAAATAATTCCCCAAAATCAATAGCTCAGTAAGTGTTCGACATTGGATGCTGACCACGTCGTTTAAGTGGACTTGTTTAGCTGAAGGCTTTCGGTCATGCATCTGTACCAGATCACGTTTCAACACGGCGTGGGACACAGCTCCCACTGTTCATTAGCCAGCTTATAGAAAAGGTCCTCGATATATTGGTAACGAATCAAACATATCTTTCCTACCTCTTCTCGTCTGACTTCTGATTTCTGTCTGACTGGGAACAATCGAATATAGAAGGTGCTACTGGTAGCTAGTTGCGAAACTAGAACATCCGTTGCATCATCATTGGTGAGACCGACGTGATCTGGTACACCAAGTCAATATACTGTGAGTCTGTTCCATTTTGGAATATTATTATTCATTGTTATTCTTTATTTGAATTTTATATATTGTGATATACTTTTTTCGCGAATTTTTTTAGCTATATTACTATGACGGAACACTCACCCAAGGTTTTTAAGTTAAAGTCTATTCCCCCTATTCCGATTCAGTTAACGCCATTTTGGCCCGACAATATCGAGTCCTGGTTCTGCTATGCAGAAGCTGATTTTTGCATGCACGGAATCACGGACTAGCGCACACGTTTCCTCGCTGTAGTCAAGGCGTTACCGCGCGAGTTTAACAGGTACGTAACACCTAGTATGTTTACTAGTGATGTTCCCGAACCTTACGAAACGCTTAAACTATCGATTTTAAAACGCGGAGACCTAACTGATCGACAACGGTTAGACCAACTCCTTAACAATATCGACTTACAACATGGTTCTGCGACGGACATGTTGCTTAGAATGAGAGAAGTCATCGGCCAACGAACTTTCGATGATGGCCTATTTAGACAACTTTTCTTGTCTAAACTCCCTCAACAGGTGCAGGCAGTGCTTGTTTCATTTCAAAACAATGCCATAGATGAACTAGCTGCATCTGCCGATCGAATCTTGGAAATCACCAAATTTTCTAAGGGGGAGGTTTTTACTATCAAACAAAAACCCCAATCGACCTCGACTGACATGACCGAACTATGTCACACGCTTACAAGATATCTTAGAGTTCGTAATGACCGTAGTCGGCCAAAATCCTCACGTAGGAGCGTTTCACGTAAGAGATCTGTCTCTCGTGGTCGAGAGACAGACAACCCCGACTGGTGCTGGTATCACAATCAGTACGGTAAATCCTCTAAAAATTGCAGGAAACCCTGCAATTATCCGACCCCAAAATCGAGTGACACGAAAAACAGTTCGGGAAACTTCCCAGCTGGCACGCGTTAATGGCAACCGTAGCCGGCGAACACAGCCGCCTCTTATATGTCACGGATGTGACTACGAAAGTTCGCTACCTCGTCGACACTGGCGCAGAAGTTAGCGTTCTTTCAGCAAATCCCGACGACAGACTTCGTGAGTCTGTTTTAAATTTACAAACAAACGGCAAACGGAAAGCCGATCGCTACTTACGGTAAAAGGTACGTCTACCTTAACGTAGGTTTACGCAAACCCATACACTGGATTTTCGTGGTTGCAGATGTCTCTATGCCAATCATTGGTGTAGACCTGTTACAACAGCACAATCTACTCATCGACGCACGCGCACGAAGGTTAATAGACGGAAACACTACGTTATCCGTTTGCGTAACTCCTTGTTCTGGTTGCAGGTTATCCCCAGTCACGATTAAGCACGTCATAGACCCCTTGTACCAATCCGTACTCGACAAATACCCCGGGATATACCAATCGCAATCGAAATTACCTTGTGTAACCAGCAATGTTACACATCACATCTCGACTACAGGACCACCTGTATTTTCGAAAGCTCGAAGACTCGCTCCCGAAAAGCTTAGGTTAGCTAAAACCGAATTCGACCACATGATGGACCTAGGGATAATTCGACCATCGAATAGTCCATGGGCATCCCCATTGCACATGGTCCCTAAAAAGGACAGCAATGATTGGCGGCCAACTGGTGATTATCGGCGTCTGAATGCTAAAACCATTCCCGATCGTTACCCGCTGCCTCATATTCATGATTTGACAGCTACCTTGAAAGGTACAACTGTCTTTTCGAAAATCGACTTGGTTAAAGCTTATAACCAAATCCCTATGGCACCTGACGACATCCCTAAAACCGCCATCATCACTCCCTTCAGTCTTTACGAATTTCTACGAATGCCTTTTGGTTTAAGAAATGCTGCTCAAACCTTCCAAAGGTTTATAGACGACGTCTTCCGAGGTCTCAACTTGGTACATGCGTACGTTGATGACTGTCTAATAGCAAGTACGGACAGAGAATCACATCTCAAGCATCTGGACATTGTTTTCGATCGACTCCAATGGCATGGCATTACTGTCAACATTCAGAAATGTCAAATCGGAACTAACTGCTTAGACTTCTTAGGACACACTATTGATGCTCAAGGCATCCGACCACTTAGGAGCAAAGTGGCGGCCATTCTGGATTACCCAGAACCGACCACGATCAAGCAGTTACGAATTTTTAACGGACTCGTAAGTTTCTATAGACGGTTCATACCTAAATGCGCATCCCTAATGAAGCCGTTAACCGACCAACTTCGTGGAAATGCAAAATCAATTAGTTTAGACGACACAGCCCGCAAAGCATTCTCCACAGTTAAGGAACACATCGCTAGAGCAACCCTGCTTGCTCATCAGGACATTCAAGCGCCCATTAGTATCGCAGTAGACGCATCCGACTCAGCAATCGGAGCAGTCTTACAACAATGGGTTAACAACTTGTGGCAACCTTTAGGATTTTTCTCGAGACGGTTGTTAGACACGTAATCTAGGTACAGCACGTTCGGTAGGGAACTCCTAGCTATGTATTGTGCTCTACGGCATTTTCTACATTCCATCGAAGGAAGAGAATTCACGCTTTTTACCGATCACAAACCTCGTACCTTCTCTTTAAGTTCATCCTCAGACAAGTACTCACCGCGAGAGTCTCGACAACTCGACTACATTTCGCAGTTTACTTCAGACATACAACATATTTCTGGAGCAAACAATGTAGTCGCAGACGCCTTGTCTCGAATTAGCTCCTTGAACAGTTTCCAAGGAATCGACCTTCTTAAACTCGCTCAGCTTCAAAACGAAGACATTGATCTTCAGCATGAGTTATCCTCGACAACTCTTAAACTAAGTATTAGGCAGATGGGAACAGGTAAGGAAACCTTACTCTGTGACACATCTACAGGTAGGGATCGTCCAATAGTACCAAAACATTATCGACGCAACGTCTCCAATACGTTGCACAATCTTTCTCATCCAGGTGCTCGTGCAACTGTCAAACTTATAGCCGAACGGTTTTGCTGGCCTGGCATGAATAAAGACGTGAAGGAGTGGGCACGCTCCTGTGTAAGCTGTCAGAAAGCTAAGGTCGTAAGACACAACAAATGTCCCTTAGGCTCTTTCAAGACCCCTGACGCGCGTTTTGACCACGTCCATTTAGATTTGGTAGGACCCTTACCCGACTCGAACGGATACTCATATCTCCTAACATGCGTAGACCGTTTCACTCGATGGCCAGAAGCAGTACCGATTAAGGACATTACTGCCGAAACAGTGGATGCCCTTCAACCATCACTACAGACCGCGGACGACAGTTCGAATCTGGACTTTTCCGTTGTCTGACCTCACTATTAGGAATCACGCGCTTCTGAACGACCGCCTACCACCCACAAGCAAACGGGTTGGTAAAACGTTTTCATCGACAACTAAAAGCTTCATTATCAGCTTCAAACTTTTCACAGTGGACAGGGGCTCTTCCACTTGTCTTGCTAGGTATCCGCAATGCAGTGAAAGCTGACATTGGATACACGGCATCTCAACTCGTTTACGGAACGACACTCCGACTCCCAGGAGAATTCGTGGATCCTTCAGCTTCTTCATTGAACATGGATCTAAACTCTTACACGAGTAGGCTTTCAAACGCTATGCGTTCAGTAAAACCTGCTCACACTCGACCTCAATCAACTGATGTTTTCGTTCAACTCGAATTACGACATAGTACACACGTCTTCGTTCGTCGAGACTCACATCGACGACCCCTCGAATCAGCATACGAAGGACCCTTCAAAGTTCTTCAACGCGAACCTAAGTACTATGTAGTCGATAA